AATGAGTTTGAAACAGCACCTTATTTTTATGCGAAGTCTCCTCACGCTTTTTAGTACGGTGGCTTGTGACCGCCTCGGAGGCAGCCGAACTAACAGTTGATATCGACCAAACTCGATCCATTGACGCTGAGGATGTGCTCGAGGAGCTACTTTCGGTACAAGAAGCAGAACGAAGCCTCTTTTCAGCTTTCGTAATGCGTTGGCGTTTCTCGCTGCCATGATTTCTGGAATAAATATGATTAAGCAGATAAATAAAATAGGGAAGTTGTAACAATCTCAGTAAGAATATAAATACAAGATGGATTTATACATGAATTTTCGGACCTTGATGAACGATCACTTGTAAGATCTTCTAAACGTGGCACATCTTTCGGCACAGGTGCAGCGTTTATTGTAGCTAACGGTGGTGTGCCAATTTTTTGCCAATCCTCTAATTCTTGCTTTCGTGCAAAAGCATCGCTTTTTTCTGCAAAAAAAAAGTAGGAAACTAAAAATTCCCATGCACATTACCTGATTTTTTCAAACCTAGAGAAATAAAATCTTCACTTACTTTTAATAAAAAATTCATCGTGGAAGAACCGAAAGCCGTTATCACAAAAACTCCTTGAGCCAAAGACAAAAGAACAATGACAAACATAATTAAAAACCGCGAAAAAGCTTTAAAAAAACAATGAAAAAACAAAAATGAGGAATGCGTGTCAACAACTAGATCGCTCATAGGTAACCCTAACTCGGCTCCCTATATGGGGGATAGCAGCCATGGAGGATGAAACCCAGACTGAATGAGATCTACCTATCTGGCTTTCCGGGGAATGAAAAAGAAACAAACCTCAAGGTCATAAGCAAAAGAAAAAACAAGTACGCTAAAAAACCGCTGAAAAAGTAGGCAAGTTTTTTAACTTTCCTACAAACTTAGAAATTAACACACAAAATGAACTTACCATAACGCCGAACAATATCCTTTTCCGATTTGTCACCACTTTTACTCAAAAATCGAAGCCAGGAATTCGATGACAACGGTTCGCTTGACGGCGACCGAATACTGTACTAAAATAGACTTTTATTTTGACTTGCTGGCGCATATAAAGCAATAGTAAGTACCATCACTTTCATAATAAAAGTCGAAATTCCCATTTGCTAGTTAGGCAACCAATCCCTCTACGATATGTTCATTCGTTTCCACGATAATATTGTACTGTCGCATG